AACAAACAAACAAAAGGCCCAGTTAATTAAGAAAATATAATTTTTGTAATTACGAAAAAATGCAAGTTTTAAATTAATGTTGAAATAAACAATATTAACACCTTCTTTGAAGATTCACAAATTTCCAGTTACTTTCAGATTTAGGTCTGGTGGTTACGGCACTCAACTCGTAATCTGAAAGTCATGAGTTCGAATCCCGTCCCAAAATATGCTCGCCCTTTCAGCCATAGGGGTGTTATAATGGGGCGTTCAATCTATCCATTTGTTGGCAAATAATAGACGAAGAGTTTGCAGTGGGTGGTGTTGACTAGCTGTCTTCCTCTCTAGTTTATCACTTCAAAATTAGGGATGGCTAGCTCAGATAACTCTCGATTAGCTTTGCGCAAAATTTACAAACAAACGAATCCTCCCATACTTCTCAACTCTCACGTATTTCACTCATTGTGTTTCCATACCTAGTGATCAAAATCTCACACCTTCAAACATTTAGAAAAAATTATATTTCTCAAACTTTCTTCAAGTTCCCTTGTTAATTAATTCTGGTTATTTATCAGGTTTGTTGCAGCTGATAATCAAATCTCATTATATGGCATCACCTACAGGTTTACAGGTCTGTACTTCTTTACTCAGTCAAACTCGCTATCTCTATTACACCAGGAAGAGACAAAGAAAAGTTAAGAGGAAAAATCAGAGTTAAATATTGTTACGTCTCTGTTCGTTAGTTAATTTTCCGTAAATTCGTTCCGACGAAACTTTAGCGACACAAGTCCTTTCTTAAATAAAGCTGGTTTATTCTTTCTGAATACAACTTTACGATACACTTAATTTCAACAGTCGCTCTGTAACAAACGACATAATTCTCACGTGCTTAACTTCAACAATACTATCTGACTGCAGTTCAATTACTCATTACACTGTTGTACCGTCACGTTGTGAACGTCTTATATATATACAAGACTAACACATATCTAGTAAATGCTAGGACATTCTTGAAGGAACAGGATATTTCAATAAACAGGTGGCGTGATACTAGTCACGTGACCTCGCTGACGCAACAATATCATAGAAGAGAATAAGTGGATATAAATCTGACATCGAACTTGAAAGAACACTAGCATTAGTCACGCGAGAAGCAGGTCCGTAGTCGAATTTAGATTTCTCGCTGGCTCAGCACTAAATACAATAAATAGCACTAAAATCTGAGGGTTCTATTCAGAGGCTGAATAGTTGGGTCAAAGGTCAGGATGCTAGTACACAAATATAGGCCAAGTGCTTTACTTATTACTAGAGTGCTCTTGTAGTAATATAAGAATTGTTAAAAAGGTATCACTGATACTGTTAATATAATGTTGTAAAGTACTCAGCTGACAAGATATTTAAAATAGTAAACATAAATAAGAAACCCAATCTATTTATTTATCTAGTTTAAACATCTTCTTGGTTGTATATACTTCACAAGAGTAAATTAGTAGAAAGGATACTATATATTTGGGGAAGCTAAACACGTCAAAGCTAGTCAGAAGTACTTCTCTCACAAGAAGGCCAAGAATTGACGTTTCAAGATCGAACAGAAGGTCTTAGTTCTGTTTCCCACAGCCAGCAAAAACTCACCCTGAAGTGTAAAGGAGCTTTTGAAGCGCAGGGAGTTATCAACAGAATGTATTATAAAGTGAAAGTAGGTGGCAAAAATCTACCATACCAATCTGTTGAAGAGGTACTTCGAGAGGAAAGAAGACATAACGTGTGCAAGCTACTGAGGCACAGATAGACATGATAGGTGCAGCTGTCACAGAAGCAGAATCTGAAGACAATGACTTTGTTATAGGACCTTCTAGACCTAAGACCATTCGGTGGAGATGAGATGAACCAAGACGTCAACATAAGTGAATAAGCAAAAGAAAGACCAACAGGATAAACTGTGACAGTACACAGATGTATTCACAGATGAACAGGCAAAACAGATCTCAAGCAACACAAAATCGAAACGAAGACAAGGGATCCTGATATCTTCCCTACCAGATGCCCTATGAGAAGAGAGACCAACAAGAGCTTGTTTGTTTTTAAAATTTTGAAGTTAAACACAAAGCTACACAATGGGCTATATGTGCTCTGCCCACCAAAAGTATCGAAACCCGGTTTCAAGCATTGTAAGTCCGCAGACATA